TCTGCGTGACCCCAGAGCCAGAACATTCCAGGTGGGCTGTCTTCTGGAGAGAGGGACGGAGAGGACCAGAGTGCCAGCTCTCTACCATTCAGACTCTTTCCCTCCCTTTCCCTTCCCCAACCTATGGCTGCCAAGAGAGACAATTGGGACTGAGCCAGGGCTCTCAGGAGTGGCTACTTCCCCTCTGTTGGTGGGAAGCCAACACACCAAGGCTTCTACAGAGAGTGGTGCTCAAATATTTCTTCTTAAGACCGGTAGCAGACTAAGGGGTGCTGAGACTGTGAGCTCCCTGCTCACCAGCCCTATGCAGTGCTCCTTGCCTGGAAGCTCCATCAAATAAGGGCACATCCTGAAGCAGAGAGACATCAAACATGCTTTAGCAGCACATGGGTAACTCAACACCAGCATGCTTCTCCCTGGTACCCTCAGGAACCCAGGGAAAGGCTCACAGGCCAGATCCCGTACCTTCAAGACTCAATCATGTTGCTCAGGGGCATGGAGGGGAGATTTTTTAACTAATCTTGGGAGGTGAGGAAGCACACATGGGCAAAAATAAAGAGAGTTCCGGATTAGTTTGCAGTCCCATCAGCCACAGTACACTCATAAAGTACCCCTCTCCACATAGGAGGCTCTCAGCCCAAGGTGGAATTCTGGACAGGGTAACTTCCAGCCCACAGCACCATAATGGAGAAGTTTAGCTGGTTTGAGCTCTTGTCTGCTGGCAGACACCAGGAGACCACACAGCAGAGGAAGGTGTAGAAAAGCAAAACCTACTCCTGACATCCATATTGTGAATCTCAGATGCCCCTCACCCCATGCCCACAAGATGATTTTCTGGCTGGGTTGAGCCACATCAGCCCTTCCCTTATGGCTTTCCCCAAAATACTGAGAGTGGACCTTTGACCTCTTCCAACAACTACCTTATCATCTTTTGTGGAGCCTGAGGGCAGGCTCATGCAACCCAGCCCCAATCAGTCTCACTCACCAGCCCATGTCTGCTATGATGGAGAATAAATACTGACCTGGATGTTCTAGAGCACTGCCCACCACCTGTCACATTTGAGTGCTTGTCTCTAGGGGCTACAGCCAGTCACAGGTGCCAAAAACAACACTGCAGCATGCTCCTTCCAGCAAGTGCCATTTAATGACAAGGATGTAAATTTCCACAGCCCATCACAACATTTACTGACTCAATCATACAGGGTGTGGTTGATTCTTATGCACAAGCACCACCAACTGTCTCAGAAATTAAACTGGGCATGCCAACATGATCCAGACTGTTAAGAAAACCACAGGGCTGGGGAAAGAGAAAAGATTTCAAAGACCTCTATCCTCTTTCATCAATGAGAGACAGGGAATCTGCCCACACACGTAGCTCATGACTTCTACAGCCTACAAACTAATGAGCAACTGAGAAAACCACAACACTAAGGAGTTCTATAACTAAGGCATCCATCCAGAACCTAGACTGTCCTCCAGGAATCCACAAACAAAGCCAAAAGTTCTTATCCAACATATACTACAGACAGATCCTTATGAGTATAAGGGGAAAAGTACCTCTATTTAAACAAAAGAAAGCCCCAAAATAAGAAGTGACACCTGTTCCAGATGAGAAAGAATTAATGAAAGAACTCCAGAGTTACAAAAAATCAGAGCAAAATGACACCCACAAAAGGAAAGAAACACCAGCTCTCTCTCAATGGAGCCCAACCAAAATGAAAATATTGAAATGATATACAAAGAAGTCCAAATATGAATTGTAAGGAAGCTTGATAAAATCCGAGAGAAAATGGAAAACGAACACAAACAAACCAGAAAGAGAATTCGAGAAATGAATGAAAAATTCACTAAAAAGATAAACATATCAAAACAAATAAACCAAACTCTGGAAATGGATAATTCATTTCATGATATACAAACACAAAACAGAGTGGACAGTTTTAAGAATAAATTAGATGTGGCAGAAGAAAGAATCAGAGCATGAAGACAACTCTTTCAAATTAACACAGTCATAAATAAAGAACAAAGAATTAAGAGGAATGAACAAAGCCTACAAGAAATATGGAAATATGTAAAATGGCCAAATATAAAAAACATAAGCATTCCTGAGGGTGAAGAAGAAAATGAACGGGGCTGCAAAACCTATTTGAGGGAATAATTGAAAAAAAAACAACAAAAATAAACTTCCCTGGTCTTGCCACAGATTTAGACATCCAGTTACAAGAAGTTCAAGGATAACCTGGGAGAGTCATTGAAAAGAGGCAATCAGCAAAGTCAAAGATGACTATGTGTCTTCTGAAGACACATAGTCATCAGAATGGCCAGAGTCAACATGAAGAAGGAATTCCTATGAGCTGTGGGGTAAAAATATCAAACTTACAGAGAAAAACCGATCAGGCTAACTGCAGACTTCTCAATGAAGACCGTATAAGCTAGAAGGGAACAGTCATTTTTTTTTTTTTTTTCATTTCAGCATGTTATGGGGGTACAAATGTTTAGGTTGCATATATTGACTTTGCCCTGCCTGAGTCAGAGCTTCAAGCATGTCCATCCCCCAGATGGTACACACAGTATCCATTAGGTGTGAATATACCCATCACCTCCTCTCCCCTCCCACCTGCCTAACACCCAATGAATGTTACTACTATATATGCACATAAGTGTTGATCAGTTAATACTAATTTGATGGTGAATACATGTGGTGCTTGTTTTTCCATTCTTATGATACTTTACTTAGTAGAATGGGCTCCAGATCTATCCAGAATAATACCAGAGGTGCTAGATCACCATTGTTTTTTGTGGCTAAGTAGAACTCCATGGTATACATATACCACATTTTATTAATCCACTCATGTGTTGGTGGACACTTGGGTTGTTTCTACATCTTTGCAATTGTGAATTGTACTAGACACATTCAAGTGCAGGTGTATTTTTTATAGAATGTCTTTTTTTCCTTTGGGTAAATGCTCAGTAATGGGATTGCTGAATCAAATAGTAGTTCCACTTTTTTTTTTTTTTTTTGGTACTTCTGCCTTTAGCTCTTTGATGAAGGCAAATTGGACATTTCTAATATATCAAAAGTTAAGGACTAAAATTAGGGTGTTAAAACAAGATGCTGTTTAAGTTTATTAACTTATTCAGCAAATAAGTTCAAGGAACTAAGATATTTTTGTTTACCCATGGTAATGCTATCAGAACATATCAGCATGCTTTAACCAGTTGGGGACCAGCGTCGACTATAGTCGACATCCACAGATGAATGTGCACAGCGATTTTAGCCGACAGCTGTGATATGAATGTTCTAATTTTTCATTTATCAAAATAAAATTGTGAACATTTAAAAATAATATAATGAAAACACATGTATATGTTACCTATTCTGATTTACATTACAAGTAAAGCTGCCTGTAAAGTAAAACAAACTTTCAGTGCTTTAAAGCTTTCCTCATCACACAAGAGCAAAATGGATTCGTCGTCAATGCACAGCACAAACTATCATTAAGACTATAAGTGCCGGCTGTGGGCAAGGTTTCATAGCTGGTGAGCGCAGTCCCGAAGTGGTTAAACTGACTCGTTTGACCTCAGATTCTGCTCATATTCTCCTCATTCTCATTATTTCTCCTCAAATTCTTGCCATACTCTCCAGAGAAAATATTCCACCTCTGCAGGCATACAAAGTACAATTTCTGAAAGTGGGTCATTGAGAATGATAGTAAGTGGGACCATTCCTATTTTCACACCTTTGTTCCCAGCCCCAACACACATAATGGAAATTGATTTAGAGATGTGTCTACATCTTCAAGGGTAGCACTTCATTTTTATAGGCTAATATCTCCAAGCAGCTACCACCACAACACACCTTCAAAAAGCATTTTCCTCATTCTATCAGGCTGGTAGTTTTCTCAGTGGGATAGTGTGTGATAAAACCAGTTGATTCAATGGTCATTTGCCAATTGTCACACTTATTTTGCTATGAAATAAGGCTTTGAGTCTAACACAATGTTTGGTAGGATTAAACACAAACTAATAGCCTTAGATAGTGGAAGTTCTGAGGGTGGGAAATGCAAACTCCTGTTTGGAATATGTGTTAATTTTACTTAAGATGGAATGGTGCCCCATTCAGGATGAGGGATCCTCAATTTAACAGTAGAGGGAGTAGCTGGATCAGCTGTGATAAACACAAGCCTATGTACCTTCTGTCAGCCCTGGTCTATAAAAAATGTTTAACAGCTTCTCAGTGATGCTGGTGACTCCTCACTAAGATATTCCTATGACTTTGCTCTGTGGCATCTTCTCGAAGCCCTCTTGATAAACATATTTATCAGACTTTCCAGCATCATATCACATAACCATTTAACATGTCTTTTTTTGTGTGTTTGATGACTTTATCCATCATCAATGAAGGTATTTCTATTATTTATACCTGAATTTTTGTTTGCCATCTCTTTTTTCAAGCTTCCAAGAATCATCCTAGCACCAGATGTTTTACCAGAAAGATGTTCCCATGTTGATAACTTTTCTTTTTCCCTATGCAACCTATTCGTAGTGTGGGATGGATGAAATGCTATACCACCTTAGAAAAATTTATTCTTATATTCCAGCTCCCTTGATATAAAAGCTCGAGATTAAATTTTATGAGTATATCTTGATTCTAAAGGGTAAATAATTGTCTAAGTCTCACAAGTCTTTTAGTAGATCTAGAACTTTCCTTACGTTGAGACTTAATCTTAGTTTCTGTTCTGATGGTCAAGAGAGTCAGGTAGAAAGATCTGTAAGATTAAAATGAGTTGTCTTTTATGACAGAGGCATTGTGATACATTCAATTCAGTGGAAAGCATTAGCCTTAGCAAGGAGATGTGTGCAATTTCTGCAGGCTCAGAGAGTTCAGAGAAATCTGGAGATTGAAAATTATTTTAGGCCCTGGTCCAGGTATTGCTATACCATGTTTATTGTGAGATCTAACTTTCTTCTAATTTGGGTCTTGACCTTGCTGGGCATACCTGCTACAGTTTAGAATTCCATCCACTCGAGAGCATCGAAGAGCTCCAGAAAACAGATTCTGAAATAGAAATACACTTGTAAGAAGTCTTTTGAAGAGTGTTCTGCTTTCAAGATAAGCACAGTACTTGAAGTAGAGTAAAAAATGTGAAATTGGGCTTCAAATGAAAAGATCTCAATAGATCACATGAGGAGCTCCAATCTGTGACAGCCTCTCAGCATTACTTGTATTGAAACTGAAAGGCCAGGCTTTAATGCCCTAATTAAACAGCCATTCCATGTGAACTGTGCCCAGGAAGGGAGATCTGGATGAGCTTGCTCTCTTCCACTCAAGGGCAATTCCTCCAGAGAGACTTGACTGAGAACATCAGCTATCAACTTCAATAGCAACCGAGAGAATTCTTCCATCCTGAGGGAGGTGGGGGCAGAATATTGGCAGCACAGCACATCACCTACAATGGATTTTATTAGTCTTGATAATTTCCTTTAGGGTATAAGTCCTATAATTAAGCTTTACCATAAAGCATATAACAGGAAATGAAATGCTAAAAATGTTTTGAATCTGTACTAAAACTGATAATCTATTATAAAATCCAAAATATTAGAAAATTGCTTATTTTTTCCTGGCTATCAGTAAACCAACTTCAACAACTAAATAGAGCAAAATTTATATAATCATCTCATGAGGAAAAAAAAAAAACTACTCAAAGCAAAATAAGATTTTACCCTAATACTTTAATGGTTTAAATATTTCTATTCTGGTAAACAATATTATTCAACTTATAATTGCTTTCTCATGGTCTGTCTTTAAAGATTTAGGGTGGCATGGATGACATGCCATCCTAACTTAGAATAGTTGCAGCTATTCTCAAGGCACATACACATTTATTTTTGTTTGAAAACATTTTTTCCTTGATCTTGTTGGCATACTCTAATTATGGCATTTTGGTTGTTTGCAAAAAAACAAACAAATTGGTAGATAAAGACATCTGCTGACTATTTTCCTGAGGACCTTCTCATTGTTGATAGAAAGCAAAATTTAGAAAAAGAAGCTGCCATGACTAATTTCATTTTGGTTGACACATGTACTATGACTTTCCATTCATTGTCATTGTACTCATTCTAGGAACAATCAAACATGGCCTCTAAGAGGTAGAGTCTGAACTGCTCAGAATTTGAAGGAGCATGGTGAGGCAAAAGGTAGGCCAGGAATTTGCCTGGAGTAATATAAATTCTGTGATATTCCTTACTTATTCTTGTACACTAATTGTTCACTTCATATTCTTGAACTGCTATTTTATTTGAACTCCAGAAAATGTATCCTATTACTTGCTGCCATGAATTTTTTTAAAAAACTAAATTATGTTGTCTCTTTATGTGTTTATAGAAGTGTGAAGATTATTTCTATCTTTTAAACAATTTAAATGTACCATTAAATACCAGGAGAGATAAATTATATTTGCTATCATTTTAGAACTCTAGTATTTTATTACCATAATTTGTGCAAAGTCCTATGCAAAAAATATAATCAATAATAAAATATATCTTTTGCTGATATAATTAAGAAGTAGTGGGGTTTTTTCTGGATAACACAGAGATATAAATAAATAAATCACCTAGAAAGCACAGATGTTGTGAAAGAAAATTAGGATTTTATGTCTTTCAAGTTTTATGACTTATTTGTGAAAAATAGATATAGGATCTACAAAATAATAATGAAATGGATATTTGTTATTCAAAGGACTAAAATTAAATAATTTGAATATAACTGGATATTATATCTCTCTTTATTATTTTTAAATAACCAAAATAGAGACCTAGACCAATGGAATAGAATAGAGAACCCAGATATAAAACCATCTACCTACAGCTGATTTACCTTTGACAAAGAGACAATAATATACACTGGGAAAAAGAAGCCCTATTAAATAAATGGTGCTGGGAACATGGGATAGCCACATGTAGAAGAATGAAACAGGATCCCCTATCTCTAACCACTCACAAAAATTAATTCAAGATGGATAAAAAGACTTAAATGTAAGGCATAAAACCATAATGATTCTAGAAGAAAAATGTAGGAGAAACTCTTCTAGATGTCAGCCTGCCAAAAAATTTATGACTAAGACCCCTATGACAGTTTATTACAAAAGTAAACATACTCTCATCATGCAATCCAGCAATTGTGTTTCTTGTTGTTTACTCAAATAAGTTGAATAGTTATATACATCCAAAAAACAAAAAAACTGCACATAGATGTTTATAGAAACCTTATACATAATTGTCAAAACTTAGAAAGAACCAACATGTTCTTCAGTAGGTGAAAGGATAAACTGTGGTATAACCAGAAAAAGGAATATTATTCAGCACTAAATGGAAATAAACTATCAAGCCCTGAAAATACATGGAGGAACCTTAAACGCATATTACTAAGTGAAGTAAGCCAGTTGGAAAAAGGCTATATCCTATATAATTCCAACTATATAACATTCTGGAACAGGCAAAACTATGGAGATAGTAAAAATATCAGTCATTGTCAGGGGGTAGGAGGTAGGTAGGCAGAGCACAAAGGATTATTAAGGCAGCGAAATAATCGTATGATACTATGATGGTGGATACAAATTGTCAAAACCCATGGAATGTGCAATACAAATGAACCACAATGTAAGAGCTATGTGCCCTGGGTGATAACGATGTGTCAATGTAGGTTCATCAGCGTAATAAATGTACCACTGAGATGTGGGATGGTAATCGTGGGAGAGACTATGGTTGTGTAGGGGCAGACAGTCTAAATTTTCCTATGAAATAAAAGTGAAGTGTATTTTAGAAAATTAAAATAACCCTCCAAAATTTAACTTACAAGAAAATTTTATTAAGAAAGACTATAAGATTACAGAACATTATATTAATGGATTAGAAACAATACTATTAATATGACAGTTTTTCCCAATGTAACCAATCACTCCTGCTTGAGCTAAATAATTATCTCTTGAAGCTATGTGGGTTCTAGACTAATTGATGTCAAGAAGCCATAAAATACCATAGACTGGGCACCATAACTCATGCCCTATAGTTCAACAATGTATATAGGTTATCACTAACCAATGTTATCACTGTAAACCAATGAAAAATTCTATCAGACGACTTGCATCAACCCACTCCCTTGTTTCTTTCTTTCTTTAAAAAGCTGCTTATAAAAGGAGGCCAACTGAGCTCATATCCAAAGTTACTGGGGTTCATTCTTCTGGCTCATTTTGGCTCAAGTAAATTCTTTAAACTATATTGTGGGCTTCAGCCTCCTCCTTTAGGCCAACACTGGGATGCTAATAATTTTATGTTTCTTGAAATTAGTTACTGGTCATAAGAGGTTGCCCATTATGAAATATTTATCTAAATAGATTATTGTGATGCACTTTCCAGTTAGAACATTATATTTGAAATAAAAATGTATTAAATAAACAAATAAACAAAAACATTTGTAATCACTACCTCCAAAGATAACTGTTTTCAAACATTTTGCAGCCTATCCTTTTTTTTAACCATTCTTTTAACTATTTTGAAATGTAGCCTATCCTTATATTTCCTGTAACAAAATATTTTTTCAAAAACCAAAAATGGGATCACAACCTTTCATGAGAAACACATATATCATGGAATCTGATGTTGTCAATAAGCAAAATATTGTGAAAAATTCTCCAGACAATAACTATTATCTCTAAAATTACTCTATATTCCTAAAATCAAGTACAATTTGCATGTAAATATACAGTCTGATAGGCATTGTAAAATAGAATATATAGAGTTCTACAGAATATCCCAAAAGTCTCCATATACAGGGAAAATGGGATACTGTAGCTAAATGTACCTTTTTTTTTTTAAATGTACCTTTATTTACAAAATATTCATTATAAAATTTTACAAAATTTTTCCTTTGTATGGAGACTTTTGGGACACCCTGTAATTTAGAAATATGCCATAATTTGGCTTTCATTTTTAAATATGATTATAGTAGGGTTAAAATTATCTCAGCCAAACATTGCATGCATGTCTGCCTTTTAATTTATTAAATTTTTAGGATGAATTTCCAAAAGTGGAATTGCTGAGTGACCATATCAGTATCAGCAAATTCTGATACTGAAGTATTAGCTGGTACCAATTTTCCAATGGCCAGAAATGCATGAAAATGGCTATTTCCCTATAACAGTGAACATTACAGATTATCTTCATATCAGCTTTGCTAATATAAAATGTAAAAATAGCATAACAATTCTGTTCAATTCTCACCTTGTTGTGGAAAACCAATTTTATTTTGTTCATGGTAATTTTTTCATACAGAGGTTTTTATTATTTGCAGTCACATCTATAATTACTCTCTTTTAAGGTTTGTGCCATTGGGGCCGTATTCAGAGAGATCTAGCTACTTAAATGCATATAAACATTCAATAATAGAATTATCATTTGTAAGAAATTGTTGTAGTTATTGTTCTTTATATTTTTTCAAATAAACATCAGATTTATTTTGTCTCGTCTGCTCAACAACAAAACATTTTTAGTACAATTACATTAAATATGAACAATTATTTTTGGAGTATTTATTTTTATTTCATATCTTTCATTTGAGACACAGTAAATTACTCCATTTATTCAAGACTTCTATTATGCTATTCAATAAAGATTTATAGTTTGAGCAATGCAACATTTTATAGTTTTAGTAATAAAAGCATGAAAACTGCTTGCTCACATTTTAGGTGTTTTATAGATTTGTGTAAAACAGAAAATATATATTAATTTTATCATTTCTTAAGTAGCAGTAATTACATTATATATATATAATATTTTGTTATTTAGGTATTTTGTAACTGACATGCTTTAGTGTAGAATTCTATTAAGGATATTTTAGTTGATCATTTGTGGTTGCCTAGATCTAAAGAGTCAAATTTTTAGATGCATATGTTACCATTTTTTGAAAATTCATGAGTAATTTAACTATAAAATTGGAAGAGGTGGAGAGAAGAACCTGAGTAGGTTCCATTTTAAATAGACACAAGAGTGAATTTTGATAACGAATGATATTTCATATTTATTTATTCAAATATTTTAGTGGGTTTTATTATGGTTTTATTCTTCAGGTTACACTGAAATAAACTTCATTACCTTAAAATTTATATGTATATTGACAAACATTTTTATTTATTCATTTATTTATCATTTTTACATGGAACTTTAAAAATATATGTGGAAGATATTTTGTGACAGAAATGGGCTAAGATTTAGGGGTCCCAGTTTAATTTTTAATTTAATTTATTGAAATATTTTTTCTTCTCACTAATTTGTAATACTACTTTATTGTGTATGTGTTTGTGTATATGTGTGTGTGTGTAGGTTGATTCTTCTGCATTTTTTATTACCTTCCATTTATCTTTCTGAAAAATTTGAACCAGTTCCACAATTTAATTACTATAGGTGTTCCTAGTGGACTTTTTTGTTTGTTTGTGTTTTGGGGTTATTTTTATTTTCTATGATTTTAATTAACTTAATAGCATTTCTTAGAACAGAAATGCTTTGGTGATCAACAGTATAGTTTAGCCCACTACAAGGCCAAATCTTATTATAATGATGATATGTTAGGAATTAGGCCTTCAAACATACCTCACAAAATAGCATACACATAATTCCTTCTTAGAACTAAAGATTTATTGCCCTCGGAGGCCGAGGTGGGAGCATCGTTTGAGCTCAGGAGTTCAAGACCAGCCTGAGCAAGAGCAAGATCCTGTCTCTAGTAAAACTAGAAAGAAATTAGCTGGACAACTAAAAATATATAGAAAAAATTAGCCGGGCATGGTGGCACATGCCTGTAGTCCCAGCTACTTGGGAGGCTGAGGCAGGAGGATCACTTGAGCCTAGGAGTTTGAAGTTGCTGTGAGCTAGGCTGACTCCACGGCACTCACTCTAGCCTGGGCAACAAAGTGAGACTCTATCTCAAAATAATAATAATAATAATTTGAAGTCCTGAAAACAAAGGGTCAAGGTTTCAATTTTCAGCATAGCAATGTGAGGAGCCACCATGCCCGGATAATTTTTTGTATATAAATTTTTTAGTTGGTCAATTAATTTCTTTCTATTTTTAGTAGAGACAGGGTCTCACTCAGGCTGGTTTCGAACTCCCGACCTCAAGCAATCTGCCTGCCTCGGCCTCCCAGAGTGCTAGCATTACAGGCGAGAGCCACCACACCCAGCCTTGACACAATTATCTTTATAATTCAGGTATGGTGCATGCTGGTTAATCTGAACACCACTGTGCCCTGAATGACCTCAGAAAAGCACAACTGAGGCTTTGCTACATAATTCACCTATTTTTATGTCTCAGGACTGTTATACAACTGTGGAATGTAATGCATATGCATGCCTTCCTCTGATAGCTGTGTATAAATTAGTGAGGTTTTAATTTTCTTGGAAACATTACAGTAGAGCAACACAATTGATTCAAATACTTGTGATTAATGGTCAAGTTGAAGGACACGGACAATGTTACCAAACAAGGAGATGTCCCAAGAACATGATTTACATACAACACAGTATGCTGCAAGTGTGTTTTACTTTCTTCTCGCTGTTTCTTCCTTGCCGACTTGCCTTTAAAATCAAAGCACCTCCTTCCTAATTGAAAGATTTCTGGGAGCATTCATCAGGAAAAGATTACCGTGATGTTCCATAAAGTTGGGCTTCATTTTTAAGTGGCCTTATAAATGGTCAATTTTATATTTCCATAATAACATTTGAATGATATTCATTCAATATGCTTTTTTAAAGCATATTTCGAATACTAAGAACTTTGTCATTTGAAATTTAGTCTTAAATGTTTATGACTCTATTAGGCAAGATTCTCAGGGAGACAGAATATACAGAATAGGTAGATAGATAATTATATGAGGGAAGATTTATTTGGGGATTTGACTCACATGATTACAGAGACGGAGAATTCCCACAATAGGAGGTTTGCAAGCTGGAAACGAAGGAAGCAGGTAGCACAGCTCAATCCAAGTCCAAAAGCCTCAGAACCAGGGAATCTGATGGTGTAACTCTCAGGTCTAGGTCAAAGGCCTGAAAGTAGAGCGGCTGTTGTGGTTACAGAGTCCATAGTATAGAGAAAGTGAAGTTATGATATGCAAGGGCAAGAGAAGAGGAACATCCTGGTTAAAGAAGAAAGAGAGCAATAATTCATCCTTCCTGTGCCTTTTTGTTCTATCCAGTCCCTCATCTAATTCAGTGAAGCCCACCCATATTGAGGGCAAATCTTCCCCACTCAGTCCATCTACTCACATACCCATCTTCTTCAGAAACACCCTCACAAATGCACCCAGACGTAATGGTTTTCCAGCCATCTATCCCATAATCCAGTCAAGTTGACACCAAAACTAAGCATCATACTGATTTTCATATTATTATTAAAAATTAAAGTCATTGAATGAAAGCAAAAGCAGCATGTCCATGAAAACAATATGAAGTATTCAATTAGAAAGTCCACCTAACATACAATTCAGGATTTTAAGTTTACAATTAAGGCCTTTGTGGAACATATTTTTTTATCAACTCATCTTTTTTATTTGGAAGTCACCTTTTCTGCTTTTGCAAATAAAATTTCACATTACTCTTTCTAACATGATGATTTCCAAATGTTTGGTAATTTTGGAACTTTTGGGACTTTTAGAACCTTCATCCTCATAAATTTTAAATTAATTTTGATATTATCAAACAACGTTGTCAGTTTCTTCAATTTTTTTAGACAATGATTTATAAGTAAAGGGCAAAAAATCATGTCTTAGCATGAAAGAATCAAGAGACACAGTGTAATGCTACTTGGAAGTACAACAGTGGGACTCCACATGAGCCAATCTCAGCTCATCAGCATTGCCATGAATGCAATGCTTCACTTTGTTTTATGAGCTACCTAGAGCCAGATGCCATAAAATTGCTGTGAGGGATTACCTACTAGGGACTTGTGCAGGCCATGCCAGGAGCAACACAGAGGTCTTTTCATACTACTATCCACATAATAAGAATTCTGTACAGCAGACTTTGAGAATGTAGGAAGTGCTTTTTAAATTATGTCCTAAGGAAGCATTTGCCCCAAACACTAATATTCATTCTACCACACTGTTCCCTAGAAATCTCATTCAGCATTGCCACACATGTTTGCAATAATAGCAGTTTTGCTGGCCAATGTTCTCAGCACCAACAGCACAAAAATCTATTTTGGCAAAGTAGGCAGCAACCATTATGTGTGTGGGTGCTTGAGTCCCAGCAGTTTACCTCATTTGTAAATAGGACCAATGGCCAAGAATCCTAGTTTGCAAATTCTCTCACCTCATTTGGAAACATTTAATTCATTCCAACAGTCTGTCTGGTGTACAGAAAGAAAAACAGAGTTATAGTGCATCCTGCCATTTCCTCTGGATAGCCACATTCCATATTTTTCTCATTTTTTTCAGAGTTGAAGCTACCCACTTAATAGGAGCTAGCCACTTAAGAGGAGCTTGCAGTTTACATGGAAACAAGTAATACACTTAAATGTAAATAGATGTGTCTTTGGGAAAACTTTGGGAAGCTTTGAGAAAGACATCAATAAATTATTTTTCATTTTTTTAAGTACTAGGACTCATCTTATGAAACCAAATGTCAAATAAATACCCATGCTTTTGGTTTAGTACCAATATTAGGGAGAACATCTTACACTGAAGAGTTTACGATTATTGTGTCCATACTATTTCTATGTAATAAAATGAAAAGCAAACATCCTGTTAATTGTTTAATTTGCAATTTCTATTTGGCTCTATTTGGCTATAATTTAGTGGCAATTCAAAATGTAACCCCACTTTGTACATTTAAAAGTTACTTTGTGATCAAGTAGCTTTAACTAAAATATAATAAACAATCTTTTTAAAATGTTACTTTCCTTTGATTCCTACTATCCTAAACAATCCACTATAACAATAGAAGCTGACTTTAAAATCCAATTCTGAACTCAATGTAAAAAAAAAAAAATGAAGAATAATAGGTCGCTTACAATAGAATTGTAAGAAATTAGAGGTTTTACGAAAAGAGTTATTTAGATGGGAAAATTATAGCTTCATATTAGCACATCTGCACCTTGACAATCAAATGCATGAGTGCATTATAATTTCAATGAATTATGCAAAATGTTAATTAAAAAGTCGAATTTACTAATCATCTCTCAGGGTCATAACTGGAATTGAATTTGAGTAAGGACAAACAATTCCATGAAGTGCATTTTCGTCTTGTAGTTTTTAAAGCTCTTTGGAAATACATACCAGAAAAACAATTTTGTTTTTATATAGATGCTAATTGATTTTGTTGTGTTTAATCTATCAGAAATTATTGATTACTCCCTTATAAGTTATGGCTACATAATGTAGCTGTGAGTTTCAAAAGATGATACATTATAAATATACACAATTATAATAAATGTAGGCTTTGTGTTTTGAATTAAAAACTGGTTAAGCAGTAGAAAATTTGTGTATAATTTTCTATATCTAACTTTCATCTTTCAAGCATAAGGCATATGTATGAAATGTTTTCACGTATTTTAAACTTATGATATTTTCAATTCTTAGTCTTTTTAAAAATATTTCAAAATTTGCTTCTTATATTTACTTCTAATCATTTTTTAGAACATCTGGATATTTTAGAACATAGTACTATAATTTCTGAGATAGCTATATTATGATATGTGGATTTATAATAAAAATAAATACATTGATGGATTAAAAATATAATTTAGCACAATTGCATTTTGAAAATATTATAGTGGTTTCAATGTGTTTTCTAAACTTTAATATTTAGTGCAATGTATTCTGCTTCTCTGTATCCTCAATCATCCAATTTTGTCCAACAAAAAGCGGTAAAAGGATAGTAAAGATAAAGTAATTCTATCCTTCTTATGCCTATAAAAAGCCTTGCCCATGTTTCAAGGGTCAGATGAAGCCCTATATTCTTGTGAATAAAGTGTATACAAATGGAGATGTCATACAAAAACATCCCCATTCACCAAAGGATTGGTGATAAAAATAAAATGAAGATATACTGCCAATATCTCCCTCCAAACCCCTGAGCCAATGTGCCTTGTATGAGAAAACATGCATAAAAATGGTGAATTAAATCCAGGTCACTGGATTTATTAAGTCCAAATTTGTTATAGAACCTCGATGCTTCTCATTAAATATCTGAAATTTATTGTTAATTCTGAGGTGCCTTTAGCAATCAATGTGTAATTATTTCTAGTGAAGTCCAACTTTCAGGATTACTTTGACAATGCCTCTTTTGATTATTAAATTTAAGTGCTTATTACCTGCAATTCTATAATATAAAATGTTTAATGTTCCAAGACAGGTATTTGTAAAGATACAAAAACCTCTGTGTTGCAAGGACAAGGTAGATTCTGCCAGACATTTTAATGCCACTGCTGGTCACTCAGGCTATAATTGGCTCTAATTAGCTCTCTCATCCAGCTGTAACATTCTTTACCTGCAGCTGAGAGGCACTCATGAGAGTGGAAAAACCTCCCTATTGAGTGTTTGGAAATATCAGCTAAATTCCTGCCAATATGATCATTATAAATGAGCTGCAAACCCATTAGCTCTGATAGGAAATGGGTTGTGGGAAGTGAGATTTGATCCACCCTAGCCCTACAATAATAGTAATCAATGTCCAATGAAAACACAGTCCACTACGTGAACAAGGCGCTTAAGTAAAGGCTGTATTTAAAACCAAAGACTGGACAGGCAGGGTGGGAATTCAACTTGCTCTGTTTATTCAGCTTACTTTCTTTCTACTTTATATAATAGACTTAGAGCTTTAAGTTTAATGAATAAAATGCTCTTTCATCAGAACTTGCAGTTTTATTCTGAACACTTCAGGTGATACTAATGGAATGATCTCACTACTGTATGATTTTCCCCCATGGTCAAGGAAATGGTCTATACATACATTCATCTAAAACCCTCCGCAAAAGTCTGAGAAAAACTTCTCTCTCCAAAGTTTTCTTTGACTGATCTGAAAATATATATATATTTTTTTCAAACAGTAATGACTAGTAACAACAACAACAACAAAAGATATTCAACGAGGTCTGTCCACAGAGTATCCAGCCATGTAATATGAAATATAGAGACATTTGTTGAAGAAGATACAAGATAAAAGGAACATTGTAGGTTCCTTGGGACCAAACACAGTTCAATGTAGGTACCTTGTGACCTCCCACAGTTCTCCCGGCATCCCTTAACCTAACCCACACGTTCAACACTCTCAGGTGTTCTGCGTGCTGCAGGCCTTCCAGAACGTGTCTCCACCATCTGTGAAGCGTCTGTGCCTCACTTTTATTGGTGCTGAACTCACTGCATCATGCCTGAAAACCTTCTGAATCACCCGAATAGTTTCCACGGAGGAGTGTTCAAGCTTAATGCGAAATTTGACATAGATCCATTGCTCTTCTGGCTTATTTCTGATGTGACGGCCACACGGTACTTTTGCTCAATCAACAGCGTCTAGCGCCCCGCTGACTCGTAGGGCGAAGGCGCCATTGTTCACGCATGCGCACTCCGGCCCACTCGCCTCTGCTGCCGGGTTACGCCGCTGTCGTACACACCGCTCTTGTCATATTAACAATGGCCGAATAGTTTCCCGACAGACCTCGTATGTCTCCATGGAAGGAAAAGGATAATGAAACTAGAGCTCAATTCAAAACAAAACCAAGGAAAACAAAAATGGAAGTATATTATCTTGTTATTTTTGTCGGATTATTATATTAACTCCTAAAAGATACTGTAATTCCTAAGACTTTCTTTCTAGATATGTATGAAAGAAGTACATTAAACAATGATCACAATAATGCGAATATGCAACTAAAATCGGGATTAGAATGGAGCGCAGACGTCAAGAAAGTGGCAAATACAGCTTATTTGCATACATAGGTGAATAAATTATTCTTTTACCTGTGGTTGTTTTCCTCGTCTGGAAGTTCGCATTGCTTCCATGTTAGAAGTTCCAAGATGAGCTTCATCTGTTTTATATCTCTATAAGAGATGACTTTGAAAATTATGACTACATAATCCAAATAAAGACAATGTATTAAAAATAAAACACAAAGCACCCCATCCTTTGATGAAAATGGCCTCTCTAGGAGCAACTATTCTTTATCGAATATTTACAGAGGCATATACAAGTCTCGTATTTGAAGGATTCCCTTAGTTGAGGGGCACAGACTAAGCACACAAAATCAGAAGATGTTTTTACAAAACAGCATATTCTGAGGGTCAGATTGTGGAGAAGGGTAAGCAGTAGCTACGGTTATGTTAGACCATTGAAAAGTCTTCAGGGAAAAGGTGTAATTATGCTGAGCTCAAAGGAATGGTGAGATTTAGACATGAATAAGAGAAGATAGGAGGTGTTTCAATTAAGATTATTATAATAGATATTTATTGGGAAATAATGTAAACCAATTTGCCGATAACAAAGGATTGGTGGGGAGCAGAAACAAAATACACGGTCATTGTCCAGGTGTATCTACAAGACTTTGTGTGATGTTGTGAAATTATTTTCTCTGGTACAAATAGGATTCAGAAGAAAGTAATAAAATAGTTTTTAAGCCTGATATTCTTCATATCAAGTTAATCTCAATTAGGCATCTTTGTTCTTTTTTATCTGTTCTGCATAACACATACCTACTTATATTTCTAATACCTACTTATATTTCTATATGACTAATACTTTCTTACTGTGGCCATATTTTCATTATTTTCTAGTCATTGAAAATTATTTCCTTTGTTTGAAAATCAAACAAGTCAATCTTCAAAAAGAATTGTTAAAGTGCATTCCTCCAGAAGACTCATTAAAAATGGCTTGCTTCAATGATACTGTTTTCAGTTCAATATTAGCGACTATTTAGCTCAGAGAAATTTAAATGAGAAGAAATCTACGGGAAGAATTAGATAAGTAAAATGTAGTGAACTGTGGTCCCAAATATCTTGTATTTTTAATGAGTTAATCAGGCAATTGATAGATCTATGATAAGACCCCTCAACAGGCAAGTTTGAAAAACCACAGATGTTTTCATGTGAGGTTTTTATGCATGTGATAATCAACATTTCTGAATTAACTAATTTGACATTCTACTTAATTAATATGCTATAAAAAGAAAACTTTAGAAACTTCTAGATATTTCTATCTAAAATATATGTCATGATGTTAATAAGCCAATGAAACACTTTGCATTATGCATCATGCTATGAAATTAGAAAATCCTATTTACATTGACCTGCCTGCAGATGATATATTATTATGATATATTTATTTAAAGAACAAATTTCAGAGATGGAGAGACTTAAACCTGGATGTTTTTAACTCCTTCAAAATTGTTAATATGTTGTTAATATCTAAATTTTTAGTTTCTACACTCTCTCTCACTGAGTTTCTCAGTATTACTACCTTCTGGGTGGCTGAGCTTGGCCTTCTGATTTCCAAGCCTCCCATGGCATTGCTATATCCTTCTTTCTAGGCTCAATACCAGAATCATGGCCACCTCGGAAGCTGCCCACTGCTGTGGTACCTTCCTGCAATGATTCACAAAGGCCAGCGTAATGATTGCTTACAATTCTTTAGTGACACAAGTCTTGTTAGCTCACATTCACACACATAGTTTGCCCCAAATGAATACATGGATACTTTCAGTTTTACCTACAAAAGAAATAGAGAGCTGAAAACTCTTTACTCCTATTTTACGTTAAAAAAAATGCTGTACAAACTGAAAATCAACAACTTTTGTGGGCCTATTAGAAATCGAGATTGCTGGCCAATTAGAAATTTGAACAGATTCGAGAATTTGGAATTTAGAGATATATAGTTCCCAAGAATTGCTTACCAGGAGCAGAAGTCACTAGAAGCCAAGAACTGGTAGGAACACTTAAATGCTAATGTTCAATTGCTGGAGGATAGAATAGAATGTATGAGAAACTGGCAGGAAGGCAGAATCATGGTGGGGCAGGAGACCCTACATTCTGTATTTGGGAGCCCTACCAGGATCTCATGCTTGGCCCCAGCCTTACCACTGTGAGCCCCTCCCATACTCTTATCTCTAAAAAAGATTTTATCTCTACAGGCAAGGAATTTGCCAGAGGACAATTCTGAAACCTTTTCCCAACTGAGGAAAAAGCTTCACCCTACTCAGGCTGCTCCAGCCTTGTCATATCACCTAAGGAAAATAAATAGTTGACAGGGGAAAGGATTCAAAGAAATAGTTTGCAAACATTGTAGCCAGGTAAAGGACCATGGGTTAGAGGGAAAACCAATCTAGAAGACTTCAACTCCAAGTCATGGGCCCACCTAAAGATAAAGACATCACTAAAGGATTGTAGAGAGCTCTCTGTCTCCCATATCATACTATCATACCAACAAGTCTCCAGTAATTTAATTGGAGATTGTAACTGAAAGAGCTTTAAGACATAGACTTTCTCTGAGGAGTAGTATAAAGGGAAACAAGAAAACCAAAAAGAGAGACAGAAATACAAACATTAGTGTTAGGGTTGATCCAGGTGGGAACCCAAGAAGTTCGTATAGAACAGAATGTGGTTAATGGAAAACTTAGGCTTGTAGAACAATAGCTGCAGGAGAATCCCTGGGCGTTGTAAATCTAACAGGCAGCTATAGCCAGCATTCCTTCCTTTTCCCCCTGAAAGGGACTAAGTTTATCCCTCCCCCCTCTCCTGCTAAGGACAACCATGCCAGAGCTGAAGGATGGATGTGCCTGGGGCAGGGATCCTAGGAGCTTGTTGTTTGAAAAAGAATTTATTAAAAGCAGCTGTTCTGGCCCATGTATTTACTCCCCCTGGAGAACCCTCAATAAAACCCAAGACTCCCCCCTCCCTCAGTGTGGACACTTTCGCCTCCCCCTGTCTGCACCTAGATGCCCAAAATAAACAGTATTTTGCTACACATGAGGCTTCATGTATCTCTCTCCGGTCTCCGGACCTAACAATTAGGTTGAAAGCCTCTTATACCTATAACTACAACAAACATTAAACTCAGCTCAACTCAGCCATTTTAACATAAATTGTCTCATTGGAGGCTCATTTATCTCAGCACCTATTTCCCAATATACCATTTCTGAGTTTCAAGAAAACATTGCAAGGCATGCAAAAAGGCAAGAGAAGACATAATCCAGAGAGATAAAGCAAGCAGCAGAACCAGATTCAGATATGACATAGATATTGGTATTATCAGACAAAAAAATTGAAACAATTTAGGGCTGTAATTTAAAAATTAGTAGACATGTAAAGCCAGATAAATAATGTAAGCAGAAAGAATAAAAAGAAAAAAAAGAGTCTTTTTAAATCTCAAACGATCTAGATGAGGACTGCAAGAATAATGAGTAACAATGTATTGCATAATTATTTCCTATGGATAAGTGAAATGAATGACAACAATGCCATAAGAGAAAAGAGTAAGGAATGGGGAATACTCTACTATGAGACACGTCAGTGCACATAGAGTAACTCAGCATTATTTGAAGGTAGATTTAGATTAATAAAAAACATACATTGTAAACTCCAGAGAAATCACTACAAACATTTTTTGAAAGAAGTATAAATGTGTCCAGGCATGGTGGCTCATGCTTGTAATCCTAGCACTTTGGGAGGCCAAGGCAGGAATATCGCTTGAGGCCAGGAGTTCAAGACCAGCCTGGTCAATAGCAAGACACTGTCACTACAAACAAATGAAAAAAATTAGCCAGGCATGCAGCACAGCCTGTAGCCCCAGCTACTCAGGAGGCAGGATGAGGAGAGGAGGATCTTGTGAGCTCAGCAGTGTGAGGTTGCAGTGAGCTGTAATGATGGCATGCCCCTGCACTCTAGACAGAGCAACAGAACAAGACCTGTCTCTAAAGCAAAAAGAAAGAAAGAAAGAAAAAAAAAAAAAAAGGTCTGAATGATATGGCAAGAGAGGAGAGAAAATTAGAATCATAGAAAATGATTAGTTAAAAATAGAGAAAGCACAAAAAGAGGAAAAATAATAAAAACAAAAGCAATAAATAAGAAAATAGAAATGATGCTAGATTGTAATCTAAATATATCAATAATGACATATAAAATGTGAAGAACCTAAACACAGTAGTTAAAACACAGAGAATGCTAGGTTGGATTTAAAAAAAGACACCACTATAAACCATTTACAAGAAACACATACTAAATACAAAGAACTCAATAGGGTAAAATAAAGGAATGGCGAAAGATACACCATGCTAATGCTAATCCAAAGACAGAGGGATTGCCTACATTAATTTCAGACAAAAGAGACTTAAGAATAGGAAAGTTTATCAGGAATAAAGAAGGACATTACATAACTAAAACAAAAGGAAAAGTCAATTATTCAAAAGTCAATTATTCAAAATCTCAAAACAATCCTAAATGTTATGTACCTAACAACAGAGTACAAAACACATAAGGCAAAAACTGGTAGAACTGAAAGAGGAAATAGACAAATTGCTGTTATAGTTAGACTCCACTATTGCCTTGTAATGACTTTGATAGATCGTACCAGTTAAGGATAAGGATAGAGATGAACTAAACAATATTTTTAATCAATTTGACCTAATTGACATTAAGGAATACTCCATCCAACAACAGCAGAATCTATATTCTTCTGAAGATTACATGGAACATCCACTAAGCTAAACCATAGTCAGTACCATAAAACATACCATAAAAAATGTAAAATTATAGAAATAATACAAAATGTGTTCTAAGACCACAACAGAATCAAATAGAAACCAATCATAAAAAATTGAAAATTGTTGCGAAATCTCACAATATTTGTAAATTAACCAACACATTACAAAATAAACTATGGATCAATGAAGTCTCAGGAGAAATTTAAAATAATTTGAATTAAATCAAAATAAAAATACAACTTAT